TTCTAAGACATAGACTCACTATGTAGCCCCAGTTGGCCTTGAATTTGAGATCCTCCTGCCTGACCTTTGCAAATGTTGGGATTATATACATGTGCCACCTCAATTTTAAGTGAGGCTTTCACTCATCTTCTGAGATTTTTATAATTTTTCCTTTCTTTGTACTCCCACACTTTGTATTGAAACTACCTTAAGGAAAATTCATTCCTATATATTACCTATCCCACAGGTCACAAGTTCCTTTTAATAGTTACCGTGGTACCTAGTGCCTAAACATACACACTTGTCATGTAGTAATAAGAACTCATCACATTTTAGCTACAAGTGTTTTTGTTCCTCTTTACATTACTCAAACCCCTTGCCTAATAATCATATTTCTTAAATACAGTGAGAACAGTCTATTTTAATCAATTAATTGTTAATTAAAATTCAAAGAATGAATGAACACTGTCAGTGAAAGTGCAGGGAGAAGGCTTACCTGTAGCAGGTAGTAGCGTGGAAGGAGAAAACTAGTGAACAAGATGAAAGAAAATAGCTAGGAACACCAAGAGGATGGAATAAAGAGGCTTTTAACAACCCACAGGCACACTATCTATTTTACAAATTACCTTTGAAATATAACATCTCTACCAGTCCCCCAGGATGGAGAGACTTAGTGTGTTAACGGCGTTGTTCCTGACTTAGCCTGGAGAATGGCAAAGCCCACGGAAGCATGGTGCATTACCCAATGATTTGCACCCTAGTTTTCCCCGTGCTGCCTCCTGTGCAGGAGAAGACAGCTAAACAACAAAGAATAACTAGAATGACAAAAGGAGAAACAATGAAACCCAACTTGAGATTGTTTTTTCTAAAATATATTCAAATGGATACATCAGGGGAATGTACTATACAAAAGGTCTATTTTTTTGCATCAAGAAAAAGAATTAAATTCTGTCTTGTCTTGAATCATTTTACAAGAGTCTACTTTCACTAGGTCTTCTGTGTTACAGCTTTTTGATATACTAAGTGCCATTTCCTTTGAAGATTTGTTGTTTTTAGTACAGCCATGTGGACTGCCTTATTAAGAGTGCTATTAATCAGGGTGGCCAAGTGACAGTGTGGGTATATGATTTCATTACTTTCAGTTTAGTCTGGGAAATATGCAGGCAGCTTTTCACCCAAAGTGTAAAATATTTCAATTTATTAGAAGTACTTGTTATGGGAAGCAGTCAATAACAGAAGTGTAATAATGGAAACCATCCAAGCTCTTTCAATGGCAACAAGTCATTCTGCTGATACCCAGGGCCTGCATCTGCCAAGGTGTGTTATGAGAAGTCTGGAAGAGGTCTCTGTCCAAGACAAGGTTCGTGGTATTACCAGTTCTAAACAAGAGTCAACATTCCAAAAACCCCGGGTAGGGTCAACTCCATTTCTTTTTCTTTGGTAGCGGGGATCGAACTCGGGTCCTTGCGCTTGCGCAGCAGGCGGTGAAACCGCTGAGCTAAATCCCCGGCCCCTCCATTTCTAATACATATCCATTAAAGATGTAACTTAAGAGTTCATGGAATACTTGGGTTGGCAATCAAAACAGCGAACTCACAAATTCTGCAAAGAGTCAAAGTTAACACTAGAAGTTATGCTGTTTTTAATTTTTCTTTTTTTGGAGGTGGGGAGGGACTGGAGATCGAACCCAGGACCTTTACACTGAACTACATCCCCAGTCATCTTTAAAATTTTTAAATTTTGAGGGGCCAGGGATTTAGCTCAGTGGTTTCGCCGCCTGCTGTGCAAGTGCAAGGACCCAAGTTCAATCCCCGGTACCAAAAAAAAAAAAAAGTCAAAATTTTTAAATTTTGAGACAAGGTCTCACTGAGTTGCTAAATTGGCTTGAATTTTCAGTCCTCCTGCCTCAGCCTCCCAGAGTGCTGAGATTACAGGTGTGTGCCACTACATTTGTCTGTTCATAATATTGATTCAACAAATTCTCATAGATCAGTTAAAATATTCTAGAGGTGACGGGCACTGGTATCCCAAGAAAACCCACAGAACTGTCTACAATGTCCAAAACAGTGGATTGAATTTGCAGAGAACAAGAGAAATCAAAAAGAAGGCTGAGGAGAAACTTAACAAGGCAAGCCTGAAGGGGTCTCCACATCCCTGCGTTTTTCCCAAGTCACAGTGAAACCTGCTCTTGGTCCTACCTCCCCAATACTATACACCCCTTCTTCTGTGCTCTACCTCACCCCTATTGACCTTAGATGTGGTTCCCCAAGGCTGCCCTGTTGTACCTCTTCAGGGAATACCACCCAGAGAGTAGTGATGTGAAGCACCAGAGTCATGCACCCAGCGCACATGGCCATGTGGACCCTGTTTTCCTCCCTTCCTCACACTCTCTGGATCCCAGCCAACTTCCAGACTCTGGTCTCATTCCATCTCCCCAGTGCCCAAGACTTCAATTTGTCTTATCTAAAAAGTCTTGTCTTTTCCTCAAAAAGGCTTTGGCTTGTGAGTTTACAATGTGAGTCTACATGGAGGAAATTCTGGAGGCCAAGAATCAATAGGAAAGTCTTGAGGTCCGATCATACCTGAACATCCCCAGAGTGTAGCAGAGATATCGGGACAGATGTTAGAGGACGAGGACCAGGAATTTGGATGGAGCGTGATTGGAACTGTGTTGCCACACCACATGGGGCCAGTCACATGACCTGCTTTAATATAAGGGTAATGGAGCTGAGAAGTCATCTCAGAAGTGCCTGACCACCACAATATTTTATAGAACCCTAGAACACCGTCTTCAAAGAAAGGCTGAGTCACACACAGCCACTCTGTAAGAGGAAGGCAACAGGCAGCCAGTGGAGGCCTGAGGGGCAACTCATTCAGTGCTCCACATATGCCAAGCCAGAGTGGAGGTGGCCACAGCTGAAGTCTTCTCCTGCCTCTCCTCTCAGCACCAGACCTTTCAGACAGATTTTTGCCCTGGGCAAACTCAGCAGATGGCTGCCACCTTTGCCCCACCCAGCAGCCCACTCCCAGCTGCCAAAGTGAGCTGCCTCCCACTCCTCCCTATGACAGCTTCTCCACAGTGACACCACCACAGAGGACAAGTGTCTACTACAAAAATATGTATCTGCAGCTCTAAATATAGGCACACTCTCATCCGAAACAGATTTAATACTGCAAAATCTGCATTTACAAATGTGTGTGACAGAGTATTTGCTTTGCAAATGAGCTCACCATGAGATTCCTTAAATACTAGATCCTTCATTTATTTCTCTTTCTCTTCACTGCCTCCCCTACAAGTGATACTGTATACTTTTTACTCATTGAGAGCTGCTCAAGAAAACATCTGTCGTGTAAGGAAGGTATCCTGTATTTATAAACATTAATGAAAAGCAAAATGCACTTCTTTGGGGCCTTCTAGCTAACTTCTTCAATTTTCCTGATGTGTGAACTCATATCTTGCATGGCAAGAGTTTATCCAGCACCACTGGGTACCTAAAAGCCACATGAATTTTAAATGTGTCACACTATCCATCATGCTGCAACAGCCTTCTGCAGAAAGGAGAGTCTGTAGGAGCCATGGGCTTCAAAAGAGTTGACTGGGCTGCAAAGGAGTGGGCAGATGTTGCTTTGAGATGACTTCTACTACATCAACAGCTGAATCTTCACTAGTGTTCAGGTTGATAGCTGTCAGCTAGGGGCAGCTTAAAGAGCTGGAGTGATCCTCCCTGTAGACACAGTTGAATGTTCACAGATCAAACACTAACCAGGTTCCTGGGAGTGGTGAAGCTATTTTTAGAAACAGTGACACTCTGGAAAATTTCACCTTTTTGTTCTGAAATACAAGTATGATTTTCCTTAATCTATAAATGCTACACTTAATCATGCTTGTTTGTTTGTTCAGACTTGAATTTTGTCTGTTTCCTATTTCTCTTTCCCCAGGGGCTTCCCCATCTGGATGCACACGGCTGAGAAGGGAGCAGAGAGGCCTCCCTCATGTCGGGGAGGTTGTCCGGGAAAGCCAAGAAGGCTTCAGGTCTCACAATTGGCACCTGTCCCCTGAGGCTCATGCAAGCTAAACACCCAACAAAAACAAAAGGAAAAGCTCCAACTCCACTCTAAAATCATACTGTCTTTAAAAAAAAGTTAATGTTCCCTTACTGCCAGAAATACAATTGTATAGAACTCAGAAACTCAAAAGACTCTGAACTGGATCCCTGAAAACACAGACTTAACTAGGGGGGACTCCACTCGTGACAACTGAGATGGGGGCAGGCAGTAGACTGAGCGCTACAGCACGAGTCAGGAGGCCCAGGATGAGGGCAAGACAAATCACATTCAGCCCCAGGACTCCATTTCTTCAGTTATAAAATACATATAACGATGCCCACACTTTCATGAGATCAAATGAGCTAAGACCTGAAAATGCTTTAAGAAAGTCTTAAATTCTTCCCTGTATCATGTTCTCTTCCTGCTGTACATCTTAATTCCTATAATATTGTACAAAATTGAGGCCGGAAGTTATAAAAAACAGAACAGACTCAGCAATAATTCTGGCTTCAACAAAGCCTCCTTCCTCTCCTGCCCCTTTTTCCTGCTATCTTTCTTTTACTCTACCTTCCAGAAAAAAAGCAAAACTATTGATCTTAACAGTCTATTTTAATAATTACAGCATTTCCATATTTTTCAACCACAGTCAATATCTAAATTAGTTAATCTAATTGACTACCTTCTAGGGCAGGAACCTATCTTAAATTATTACCAAAATCGTATCATGAAGAAATGGCCTGCTTCTAGACAAGCTTGAGGTTGGGCTCAGTCTCTTTCACATAACAAATACATGTTTCGTTAAACAAATACAAGTACAAACTTGTGCCAGGCCTCATGTAGGGATTTTAAAATGAACAAGAAAGGTTTATCTCCTTTCCTCATGAAGTTTGCAGTGCAGTGAGGAGGACAGATTCATAATCTCATTTTCTATTTATTAGGAACCAGAAAAAAAAAATAATGAAGTGTGGCTCTACCTGCAACTCCCCTTCCATTATACTGAGTAGCTGGATGAGATCTTCTTTGGATAACTCCAGACGTTTCTTAGTCTTTTGTTCACTTTCACCAGATGGTTTCAGGTGTCGTTTGACTGTTCCTGAAGCCATGACATCCTCCTCCTTCCTATTTGATTTGTTCTTCTTTTTTGCCTCTTCTGAGAGACTTTTCTCATCGGCATTACTGGTGTTGGAGGTCTTGGGGCAGGAGATATGCCCATTCGATGAACTTTCGCCACCTTGGTTTCGGGATCTCATTCCCACCTACAACACAGAGGGAAAAAAAAGAAGATATTATTTATTGCCACCAAAAATAGTTTTGTTTAAATTCTTAGGAACTCATAGTGGCTTTCCAACCATGCCAATAAACAAAAACAAACAGAACAGCAGCAGCTTTCTTATGGCTTTCATGAATATGTTATTAAAATCTCCAGGAAAATGCTTGGTTGATCTTCAAGGAAACATAAAATGGAAACAAAGCTTTTGTAAGTAAGGAGGGGAAGAAAGGTTGAAAGGAAGGTAGCGGAACGGGAAGAAAAAGAATCAAGATATATCATATTACAAGTACAAATTCCCTATGATGAATGTGATCACTCTGTATATCTAAAGTGTACTAGTAAACTTAATAAAAAAAAAAGTGAAAACATGATTCTAAACCTAACAAATGCTTTAAACCAAATGATCAAGGTCAACACCAACCATGATGGTGTATGTCTTTGACACATTGTGGTAAGAATGGCAGTTTACCTTTGTGATTTTCTTCCCTAAAAACATTATACTCCAGGGTATTTTGAGAAAAACATCAGACAGATTCCATTTCTACAAAATTCTTAACTGGTAATCTTTAAAACTATCAAAGTTACCAAAAGCAAGGAAATATGAAAAACTGTCACAACCAAGTAAAGTCTAAGGAGACATGAAAAGTAAATAAAATATGGCATCCTGAGTGGAATCTTGGAAAACAATAAGAGTACATTAAGGAAAAACTGAGGAAATCAAAATAAATCATGGATTTTCATCAATAACAATGTATCAATATTAGCTCACTAATTGTAACAAATGTATCATACTGGTGCAAAATGTTAACTACAAAGGAGACTGGCTGTAAGGCATGTACCTTTGGCAAAATTCTGTGACTCTAAAACTGTTCTAAAATAAAAGGTTCATTTATCTACAAATTTAAACATCGAACTTTGCCAAGAATCAGCTGAGCATTATAATGTGCAGAAATATTCCCAAAGGATCAAAGAAGGCTTGAAATGGACAGAGGAAAAGGGAAGGGCAAGGAGAGGGAGAAGGTGGTGCAGTTTTTAGTGATAATGGAATTCTATTTTTCCATAGCCTATTTTTTCAATGTTGAGATTTTTTTTTTAAATGTCAGTCACAGTAAAAAGAGCTCTAAAAATTGGGACAAAACAGATAAATTTCAAAATAAAAAATTTAAACAATATTTTGAGGTACAATGAAGAAAAAAGATAACAGCAGCTAGGATCCTAACGTCCCATGGGAAGCACACTGGAGCCATTCCATGATGTCAGAAAAACACCCGACCCACAGATACCATTGTGGACAGACGGACTGGGCTCAAAGGCTGGAACTCAGTGTGCCGTGAGGAGATCGCTGATATCCTGGGCCTGTACTACAAAATTTGCCTAAGCTCTTAAAAATAGTAGTTTAGCACATGGGCTTATTTAAAACTCTCAATATAAATAGGTTTTTCCCTGACCAGCTAAGCAGCAAGATTTTCATCTTTCATTCCAGATAAAATACAAGGACTTTGTTGTCTGAACCCAGCCATACTTAAGAAACTAGGAAAAGTTTTTTTTTAAACATTAGGTTTGTAAGAGAAAAATAAACACCGTGTGATGTTTCCTTTTAGCGAATATTCAACTCTTTCAATGAATCTTGAAATCTACATTCATGCTCCTGCTTTGAATTGAATTCTTATAACCACATGGTCGTGTGTGTGCGTGTGTGTGTGTGTGTGTGTGATGTGAACTTTCCACAGCACGCTAATTGTAACATAAACCGAAGAAGTGATCCCTGACATTGATCTCTCACACCCTGCTTCCAGTCCACTCTGCAAGGGGCTCTCTATTTCACCAGCTCTTCTGTGCTTTGTTGGTGAACAGAGAGTACCCATTCATCTGTGCAGAAGCCAGAGCACTAGACCTGCTGTCTTTCACCACAGTTGTTTGTGGGCCGAGTAAACCTCAAGACCAAAGGGGCAAAGAAAGAAAGAAGAAAGGAAAAAGAGATGTGACAAACAGAGAGTCATAAACTTGACTCATGATCTGCTACACACCACAGCCCAGACACATGGGTTTCCCAAACTAAATCTGATTTTCCACAGCTCCCTACACATGTGAATTCCTTTTATCTGAAATAATATTCTTTGTAAGACCCGAAGGCTCTTTGAGATTATGAATCAAATATTAATTTGACAACTTCAATTTAGATCAGGAGTTCATAGAAATCCCAGACCATATCGCCTCAAAAAACAGGAAGTGAGTTTAAAAAAATTTTTAAATGTGATACAGGGGTTTAAACCCATGGCCTAGCACATGCTAGGCAAGGGCTTTACCATTGAGCTACATCTCCAGCTCTTTTTATTTCATTTTGATATAAGGTCTCATCAAGTCACCCAGGCTGGCCTCCAACTTGCAGTCCTCCTGCCTCAGCCTCCCAAGTACCTGGGACTACAGGTGTTTACGTACCACCATACCAGGCTAGTAATGTTTTAAATTTAACCACAGTTGTAATCAAACATGGTATTTGTATCTGATTGTATCATGTATTTATGCCTCATCTTCCTGATTCTATCTTTCACTGGGCTCATAGCATTGGGGTATTCCTAAAAAAGAAGTGGGTGTGGTCGTGCACTCCTATAATCCCAGCACTTGGGAGGCTGGGGCAGGGGGAATCACCACATGTTTGAGACCAGCCTGGGCTACAGAGTAAACTCAAGGCCAGCCTACCCTACCTAGTGAGACCCTCTCAAAAAAACAAAAAAGGGCTGGCATTCTCAAGAAAGGACAAATGTGTACCTGTCTATATGTTACACATGCTTACTAATCACAACTGTATTACAAACATACAGAAAGTAGAATCTACTTTGTATTAACTCTCTTTATAATTAGTTCTTTCTAAAGAAATTAGTTCTTTCTAAAAATTTGAATCTGAAGTTAACATTTTAAAGTAAGTTTTATTACAGTACCATATTAATGGCTTTTTACAAAAAAACCCCACACATTTCAGAATTATGTAATTATTAATCAGGTCAAAAGCTTGAGCTCCCTATTTCCTTCCATGTTAATTAACTTCGGCCAGTGGAAAAATCTCATTTGGTAGACCCGTGATGTTAATTCTCCTTGCAAATATTTTTCTTCTGTGTCACTGATATTTCACATTAATTGCTTTTCCTTTGACATGGCTGCCTAGATTTTCATCCTTTCTTGGTAAGCCAAATAGGATCATCTATCTTTATCTCCACATAAAAGTCAGCAATCAGCACCCGTTCTATCTCTGGGATGCAAAATTACTCATTGATAACACACAAGTCCAGAAAATTTAGGAACAAATCAAGCAGCATCTATGAGGCAAAAAACAAAATTTCTCAATGCAGTGTTGAATGCAGTCATGTTAGGCAGAAAGTCATTAGAAGGCTGAGAAAGGTGACTGGGGGCTTTTTGAAAAGCAAAGAAAACATCATTAGCTCTAGATAAGACCCACATGAGCTTCTGGTTTCAAACTAGCTCAAGAGAATGTAACATCTCTAAGTGTGCTGATAGTGTCCAGGTCCATATAAAGCTCAGATCATTGGTGAGGGCCTGGGAAAATCACCAAGTCTCAAACTAAATAGAGACATCCAATTATGGAATAATGCAGACCTATTTCTCCCTGGAGTGGGCTGACACAGCCCTTTTATTTGTACACAACAATGGCCTTGGAACAAGGAAGAGATATTCCTTAGGGGACCCAGTTAATCATATAAATGTAAACTGAAACTTCATCATGTTAGGACCCAGCTTCCAGGTAAGAATAACAGCAACGGGGATCACTACAAGGATGGGAAACAGGCAGAATCCTGGGCTTTTACCTGCTATACATTAACAGAATGATTTGTGTTTTCTCCTGCGACAGCCAAGGACTTGAAGGACATTTTTGCTATGAACCAGTGTGATTCCATTTTGTGCCTCATCACTGTTCCCCCTCCATTTTGTGTAAAGTCAGGTGATTCTGGGTGCTCGGCTCTCCCCTCTCCTTTGGAGGCCGCTCGGTTAATGCATGACAGATTGCTGCATCCCATTTGGTAGAGCAGTCTGCAACTGTAGGTTATCTTTATGACCTTCCCATTTGTAGAGCAGAGCAGTCTGAAGCTATGTTTTCTTTATGGCCATGTGAACAAAATACTCCACACCTGGGTGACATTTTGTTTCAACTAGACTGTGTGAAACTTCCCCTGACGCCCCCCCACAACTAACTTAGCAAAGTTCTGCTTCTATAAAATTCTGCTTGCACTCCCCATCCATGAGCCCTCCCCAACTAGAAGAGCCACTTAAAAGAAACCCACAAGCCACTTTTTGGAGTCAAGAGATTCCGAGTGCTAGCTGCTCTAGACCACCAGCAATAAAAGGACTCAAATTTGGCTCAGAGTGTTAGCGATTCTCTATAATCTCTCATGATTGAGTTTAACACCAGGTCTCTTCACCTGGACTTATAAATGCTCAACAGGAACTAAAAGCAGAACAAAGTTTTATTATCATTTTGTATCCTTTGTTACTATAAGCCTTGGGTCAGGTGTCTTCTTAGCTCTGCAGAGGGGTATGTTGATCGTTCAGGGAGCATCTGCCTAGGAGTTGGCCTGCCAAGGTTGTATTCAGGATTTCATCCCTCTTCAAGACCAAGGATGCCAAGATAAAAGGTTTACAGGGATAATCAGGTACACCTGGGTGTCTCCATTCATTGTCCCAAACCTGGGATCACCTGCATTCCAAGAAAGGCAGAGCCCCATCTGACTGAGATCATCACAGATAAAGGCAATCCCCTTTCATGGGAACATAACCATCCCTTAGCCATGAGGATTCTAGAGTTTTGACACCAGCACTGAGAATGATCAACTGGACCGCAGTCCATCAGCTACTCCTTAAAAGCTGGACTCCTGTCTTTGAGAGCAGGACAGTCTGAGTCTGTTAGGTGCCAGAGTGTCCTCCCTCCAGCTACCTGAGCTGGAGTCCTTTCCTTTCTTCCCTCTAATTTTCCAA